ACTCCTGCTTGAATTGTGAGTATGACTGCCTCTCCTTGAACTGTACCGGCATTGTTTATGTTTGCTAAGCGTCCCTCCTGCAGTGCCAGCTTGAAACATGCAGCTCCCCCGGGAATCTACATTTCCATCTCGCCAGGCGATCCTACTCTGTGGTCCGGCGTGATATTTGTGCGGTCGGGTATATTTGCCCTGACCTCATTGTCTGCATAGACGCGAACTGACTCAATCGCAGGACCGTATGCGTCTGCTGTCCTCCGATTCCAGATTCGATTTCCTGACTCCTTTCCCGAGCTTCCACCACTCATCACCTTTTCGACTGACGTTTTCCATCCTTTAATTGTACCCCTTACTACATATACCTTCAGCACAGGCGCGTCGACCGAAGACCCTGTTAGCGCGACGGACGAGGAGCGACTACCCCCGGGTGGATTCAGTCTCCGACATGGCTTCCCTCACTGGTTTGGGCGGGCGAGGAAGACAGGACGACAGTCAACAGGCTCATCCAGGCCAGTGAGTGCGAATGGACGGAATGCTGGTGAAGGGGAGACGACAACTGCGGATGGCCCTTCTTCTCCCCCACGTCAGCCCAGTGGTGGAGAGGAAGACGAGGATCTCGCCAAGGACAAAGGAACCGCTTCGGACGCAAGAAAATCGGTACCGGTAGCAGTGCTGCTGAACTATATCAGATCAACGTTTGACGATGAGAACGTCCTTGACTCTTTGCCTCTCGAGGCTGCGGGAAACCCAAGTGCGTGGCACGCGTGGAAGGCACACAGAAGAGAAAATAGTGAATCGGCGACGAGCAATTCCAAGCGAGGGAGTCCGCAGGCTCGGCTTCCTGGTGATTGGCATTGGGACGGTATTTGGGCGAAGCGTGTTCAGTATGAGATTGAGGCTAGTCATTCGGATCAAATCTTGTTCGGAAATGCTCGCGGGACCACCGATGAGATGGTATGTATGCTTCGATTATCTTCTATGGCTACGTACTGACGCCGACCCGTTAGATACGCTTTTCTCGTCAGGATGATGCCACGTTGGCTTCGATCAAAGAGATGATAATTCCTCCAGTCGGGGACGCACATGAATAGTTTCATTCCCGGATATAATTTCACTAATGCAGGCTGGTCGTCGACTGCCGCTATCCTTGCAAAGCGACGAATACATTACTCTGACGTCGCTGCCGGGGGACATGTCCTTCCCAGACTTAGAGCACATCCCAGCTCGCACTTGCCGTTAATATTCGTCCCCAGGGACAGTCTTCAATACCTCTCTCAACTTGATCTTCCCAAATGCAGGGAACATCCTCTACTTTTCAGCATACCAGTACCAATTGCATCTTAGAGGCGTTTTGGATAACACTAATCATGTCTAACGACTGGTTCTATCGATACCAAACTACCATTCTCGCTGTCGTCCTAGTTTTCGTCCCTATCATTGTGATCTGCAGCATCTTCATGACTGCTCTTGCATGCTCTGAATACTGGTCTACACGACGAGGTTGCAGTTTCTCCTACTTCACTTGCATCTGTGGTCTCCGGTCAAGAAGTCAGCGCGAGAGGAATCATTCTAATACTGATAACGCCAACTCCTCTGAGAGGACTGAATCATCGCGGGCCTCGGCTGAAAACAAGAATCCAGTCTTGAGAACTGAGCAACCCTAGAGATACCGTTAGCTGTTCGCGTACGCTCTATCGCAGGAACTTCCACTGTTTATGCACCGACGTTGCTTAAGACTGCGCGGGGGCATTGCTCATGATAATGCAATGGTCTGTTCATTCAGACACAGTGGTCTGGCGCACACTATTTTCGAAGTATTCAGTCTTACTCCGCGGCGAGTCTGGAGATTCTGTCACATGAAACAAAGCGGAAATGGAGGTAACAACAAGCTATGCAGGACTTGTCAGCCTATTATACATAAACCCTGCCATCTGGATGGAAGGGGCGCTACCTTCTTGAACACCGAAGTCCCTCCAGATGTATCTTTACCAGTTGTTGAACCGAAAGTCGCTGCAAACCCCATTGTGCTTTCGAAGCTAGCCTAAGGGATGCATCGCGATAGCAGTTGCTTGTCATCAGACTAGACTACAATGTTGTATATAACCTGGATTGAAGGTTGACCATACTTTGTCTTGTTCAAACAACTGCTTTAATGTCCTGTTGCTATTGACGTTGCAGGGCGTCGTTCTCTTTGCTGCTGCTGTACATAGTTTGAGTGACTGTTCCTACCAGCATACGACACATATCCAAAAATAAAATAGTTACAGGTTTAGTACTGCCAATGTATAAGGTAGCTGATGGTCAAATATAAGTGATCAATCGGGCAACCGAATGAGTCAAGCGCTACTCCAATTGGGGTATATTATCTTTCGTGTACCCCACACGAAACGAGGCCAACATTTGCTTCAGACAATATTTATCATCGCACGCTTCTCACACCTCCCAATCCCACAAAAGCACAAACAAGGCAATGGCCGACTCCAAAGGAACCCTTCTGTCGCAGGTCGACGACACCACCTCCGATCCTCCACCAGCCTACGATGCCAGCGCCGCACCCACCCCTCGCCTTCCACGCCCACCACCTCTCTCCCTCCCCGTCCTCAACACCCTCCGCACGAAACGCGTAATCCTCGCCTCGGCCTCCCCCCGGCGCCGCCAGATCCTCTCCCTCCTGGGCCTCCCCTTCGAAGTCATCCCCAGCAATGCCGCCGAGGACTTTCCCAAGACAATGGAACCCTTCGAGTACGTCCTCGCAACAGCAACCAAGAAAGCGCAGGCCGTCTACTCCACCGAGATCAACAACGAGGAGAAGGGCGAGCCGGCGCTGATCCTGGCCGCTGATACCATCGTGGTGGATAATGTCTCCGGCTCGATCCTGGAGAAGCCGCGCTCGGAGGCGCAGCACATCACTATGCTGAAGATGCTGCGCGATAATCGGGTGCATAAGGTGTACACGGCGATGGTGGCGATGGCGCCGTTGGAGAGCGCGCGGCTGCCCGGGTATGCGCTTGAGACGCACATCGAGGAGACGGACGTGGTGTTTGATGGGGAGGTTACGGATGATTTGATCGTGGCGTATGTGCGGACGAGGGAGGGTGCGGATAAGGCGGGCGGGTATGGGCTGCAGGGCTTGGGGTCGATTCTTGTGGAGAGTATCCAGGGGAGCTGGGATAATGTTGTTGGGTTGCCTTTGAAGGCGGCGTTGAGGTTGATTGAGAAGGTGGTGGCTAAGGCGGATGATGATGATGATGGGGATGAGATGTTGGAGGGTGAGGAGGATGAGGAGTAAGGAATAGACGGGTTGAGCTGATGATATCCTTTGGTATGATACTACGCTGGTCGTTCGCTATAGATTCCCCGATGTGAAAACGGCAATGGTATAGACAAAGTCTTCGGTTTACATTTTATAGCCAACGGTAGAGCAGGCTAGGCTTGACGAGACAAATAGAAAATTTGGCACATGTACATAGGCAGACGCCTGGGAAAGAATCATCGAAATCAAATGCAAAGCTCAAACAACACCCTCAGAAGATCGGTCTATGCCTTCCACACCCGCTTGATGGCTTCTGTGATACCAACGTCGTTTGTCTCGAATTCATACAAACCGACGGCGGTGGTAACAGTGAAAGCACGCAGTAGCCAGTTCAAGAACGTCTTGGTCTTGGGAACGCGCTTCTTGGGGAAGTAGTCGATGATAGAGGCACTGTGACGTGTTAGTTCCGACTGTCTGTAAATTGTCGAACTGCTAGAACATACTGGAAACCAATGTGGGAGTGGATGACCAGCAGGGCGCAAAGGACAGAGTCCATGACGGGGTTCAGGGAGCCGGCAGCGAAGGGAGCGATGGTCAGAGGGATCAGTCCGACGGAGACGAGTCTAGATCCGCATCAGCGTCGATTGTCTTGGTTTATACTCCTCTATCGGGGTCTTCATAGCCAGACTTCCACATCTGTACGCACCTCTCGAATGTCCAGTGGTAGCTACCTTCCGAAGGGTGAGGCTTGGGAATAGGAGCGGGATCGTTCACTAGGAGTCTTGTGTCAGTCCATCGTTTTTCTGTTTCGGGTATGAAAGCTGAATGTATCGAATGCTGCGGACTGCGAATTTCGCTGAATAACGGCGTGTACTTCGGTCCCGCATCTCAAACAGTATTGAGGCTGTTAACGAAGGGGCTTTCGACATACTTGTTCCCTGAATGACCTCTATACACAACCTGTTAGCTCTACTTCGTCCCATACACCCCTCTTGATCAACGCAACACCCCGCAATCACCACTAATCGCGACCGTAACCCTCATCAAATCAAGGAGTAACTCACGGGGCAGGGGAGGCAGAATCTGCTTCTTCGCAGAGGCATGGAAGGCCACAACCTGCGACACGTTCTTGTTCACCAAGGGCGACCGGAAGGCAGACAGGCAAGAACGCCCAGAAAGGAGGGACTGGCGCGCAATCGAAGCCATCGTGACGATATGCTGAGAACTCAATCCAAACAATATCCTAAAGCGAGCTGCACTGCGGACCTGAGGGCGTTTAGGAGTCCTGAACCTGCGGTAGTAATTCGACGTGCACGCTTGAGATCGTGAGGTTGAATTGGAACCTCGGGAATCCGATTCGGGATGCGGTCATCACATTGTGCGCACTCTGATTCGCTAGTGGCTCTCCGCCCAGCCGAAAATGGCCGATGTTCCGGCAGATGGATTTTGTATGGTGTCTTTTGAATGCTTAGCTGTCGACTGTTCAGCATTGTACTTGGACTTAAGCACGTCGATATTTGTCTACAGATATTGAGTCTACAAAGCTGTTTCCGGGGCTACGTGTTTTCACTGACAATCGCAGCGGAAGTCGCCATCCGACGTGCTCGGAAGTCAACACCAGAGAACCAAATCTGAAGAATGTTTTTGCGCCAGGCATATGTAATTCATTTTCGCTCATATCTCGTCATGATGTGTCTATGAGATGATTATACTATTAACATGCAGTAATTTCCACCAAACTACCTCCCATCTAGAACTTCAAAACGGCCTTGCCCTTGTTCTTACCGTGGAAAATACCCACCAGACCCTCGGCGGCGTTGTCGATGCCGGTAGTCTCGTGCAGGAGAGATTTGAAGGATCCCTCCTTGATCCACTTCTGCACGTTCTTCTGGTGCTCCACAGTGTACTTGTCACCCATGCCAGGGTCGCTGACGATGAAGCCACGCATATCAATACGCTTGGTCAGCACATTGTGGATGTTCTTGATGGGGTAAGGAGCCGCGTTGTATTGGGAGATCAGGCCGCAGACAACGACACGACCGAAGTTGTTCATGGCGTCCAGAGCGGCCTCGAGGTGCTCGCCGCCGACGTTCTCGTAGTAGATGTCGATACCCTGGGGCGCCAGGCGGGCCAGTGCATCAGCGGGCTTCTCATTCTTGTAGTTGAAGCCGCCATCGAAGCCCAAGTCCTTGATGATGTACTCGAGCTTCTCATCGGAACCAACACTGCCGATGACCTTGAGACCCTCGTGCTTAGCTAGCTGACCAACTAGCTGTCCGACAGCGCCGCTGGCAGCGGAGACGAAGATTGTCTCACCCTTCTTGGGCTTGCCAATCTCGTAAAGGGAAGAGTAGGCGGTCAGACCGGGCATACCCAGAGCGCCAAGGAACACACGGATGTCCTCAATGCCAAGGGGGTTCTCTAGAGGGCGGATGCGGGCAACCTGGGAGCCGTCGAGGACGATGTACTCCTGGATGGGGACAAAGCCGATGACCAGATCACCTTCCTTGAAGGAAGCATTGTTGGAGCGGAGGACCTTGGCAATTGTCGAGCTTTCGATGGGCTTGCCAAGCTCAAGAGCGGGAGAGTAAGACTTTACGTGAGGCTCGCGCATGCGGCCACGCATGTAGGGGTCGAAGCTGGTGTACAGCGACTGTAGGACAACGCCATTCTCGGGGGCAGGTGTGTTGGCGTCATAGTCGACGGGCTCGATGGTAAGGTGCTCGCCGGGGACGGGGTATCCCTGAGGGACTTTCTTGAAGATAAGCGCCTTGTTTGAGCTCATTTTGGCAGTGAGTGTATGAAGTGTATGGAGAGTATTGGGGAATGAAGTGTATTAGAAAGATTTTAGAGGGGTCTCGATAATAAATAGCTAGCCCGTAGCTACGAAGAGCAGATCCGATTTATATACTGTACCTCTCTAATAGCCTAGGTAAGTACGTAGCATAAGCGGGGCAGAGTCAAATTCAACGAGGTTGAATAATGATAAATCTGCCTGGATTATCAAGCAGCGAACACCAGAGAAGCTACTTGAGAAATCAAAAAAGTGGAAAGTACCTAGGCAACTCGTCTGGCCGAGGGGCTCCTTAGCAGCGGAGTGGCACCCAGACCAAGTTACCCGCTTGAGAGCCGGAGACTTAAGGTACCATATTTCCATGGATCCAAGCCTTCATGGCTGATGAGTGGAGCTATCGGGATGATTCATGTCCATCCCCGACGGGTGAAGGACACTTTCTAGGAAAGAGAACCGTATGTTGAGACTGGCGAGGGGCATGGGTGTTGCGCAATGATGAAAGGCAAGGCGAGACCATGATTTTTGTACGGAGGTGTTCCCTAAAGCAGCCATGCTCCCACGCTACGCATATCTGGGATGATCACTAATAATGCACTTTAATGTGTTGCAGGTTTTGCTGAGCTGCAGGCATAGATATTTTGCTTAATAATAATACGACGAATGGTATGATTATTCTTCTGATTTAAGTCCCTGTAGCGAGAAATTAGCTAGATATAGACAAAAGGTGAGCACCTTAAAGTAACCACTCGTAGACTATTGCGACATTACGTTCGTAGATACATTACAGATGAAGTCATAATTCGCGTAAGTTGCATGTCATTCTTGGCTAAGATTAGTAAAATCATTGCGCGTTGAGTAGCCGCTTCGTTTTAAGACTTACATAGCAAACTTGATCTCTAGCATTTCTAGATTCGGTCTTCGGTACCTTATTGACGTTGTTCGATAGCCAATCTGGATTACGGATAGTTCAGAGCAGTTCACGCCACAAGTTTAATACTAGGACTCCATGTACATCTGCGCCGCCATTTCAAGGGATTTAAATGAGGAGATGCATTTCCCAATCGCTTGAACAGCTCAAACCCTCAAACGTGCACGCGAGCGCTTATTCTTTATCTTCGATCTGGAGCATMGAGTCAACGTGCAGTCGATCACCTGGTGGGAAAACTCGAAGGAAGACTCCGTGGTACAACACCACCATTATCACCAAACCTCGTCGGTTGTACTCCGTAGATATGTCGAACTCAATAGTACTCAGAAGTCAGAATAATGGCACTAACTATCGAAACTATTTATCAGAAGATGCCTCTGCAATCGGGTATTKAGACAGATGCTACGGACTCATCCCTTTGTCAACTTTGCGCACAAGAGACATGACTGAGAGACTGTAGCATTGGATAGTAGAACGTAAGTCACACCGTACTTGTTTTGATCCGTCGCCTGTTCATTCGTGTATTCCTGAAGTATACTGCTGAGAAGCACCACAGCTATCTACTTAGTGCTTCTTGGTGGATGTGGTGCCTGAGGCTACCCGGCCAATCACAATACATTTGCCCCGAGTCTCGCCGCCAGAATCTCACCGCCTGCAGCTTCGAACTTTTCTGCCGCTATTTTTCCCTTTCCCAGAATGATTTGAAGTTTCAGACTGTGGCTAATCCTGCATCAGCCAACATCATTTTGAGATCGTTTTCATCTCGATTTTTGTTTTTCTGGGTTTAATTGCTGATATATATTATCAATTATATTCCTCCTCTACTGATTTAATGATGCTGGGCGCAGTTCGCCGTTATGGCGTTGTCCACGCTCTGCGAGCCTCCGTCCCCCGTGCCCTCTGCAAACCGTCGAATTCGCAGCTCTTAAGATGCCAGCCTTCTACCATCACAACCTTCCCTCAGTCCATTCGATTGCTGCATAAGTCGTCGCCTCTCTTTTCATCGGCATCCGCTCAAGCACAGGTGCAACCTGATGACTTCGAGTCGGCTGCTCCGCTGCAACCATTGACCGAGTTCGCCGACTTGGCTGAGCAGGGACTGGTGGACCCAAAAATCATTCGCGCAATTGTTAAAGATATGAAAATCAAAACTATGACCGATGTCCAAAGCCAGACCTTGCGTGAAATTTTGCAAGGAGATGATGTGTCAGTATATGCTCTCGCCTCTCAAGGCCCTTCGACCGAAACTAACCGTGCATGTCTTTCTACAGTTTGGCCCAGGCAAAGACCGGTACTGGAAAGACGCTTGCCTTTCTCACGCCGGTATTTCAGAATATCATGAAAGACCCGTCCTTAAAGGCGCTGAACCGGAGGCGGTCACAGGTGACTTCCTCCGACATTCGCGCGATTATCATCTCCCCTACTCGCGAGCTGGCAGAGCAGATTGCTGTGGAGGCTCGGAGGTTAGCGGCTCACTCGGGTGTCATTGTGCAGACTGCAGTTGGTGGCACTCAGAAGCGCGAGGGTCTTCGTCGCATCCAAAGAGAGGGATGCCATGTGTTGATCGGCACTCCAGGTCGACTCAAGGATGTCCTCTCCGACTCTTACAATGGTGTCACGGCCCCCAATCTGTCCACTCTGGTACTGGACGAAGCAGATCGTTTGCTGGATGATGGGTTCTCGGAAGATATCATACAAATCCAGCGTCTTCTTCCGGATCCCATGAAGGTTGACCGTCAAACGCTCATGTTCTCCGCTACGGTTCCAAAGGAAGTCATGCGAATGGTCCGTCAGACCATGAAGCCTAACTTCAAGTTCGTCAAGACGGTGCGAGATGACGAAGTCCCTACGCATCTCACAGTTCCTCAGAAATACGTTATTCTCAACGGCTACGAGAATGCCATGCCTGCTCTTCTGGAGTTTGTGACGAAATATGTCGAAGGAGAGAAGGAGAATCCGAATCAGCGCCCGTTCAAAGCAATTGTCTATTTCAACTCAACCGTGCAGACTAATTTGGTCTATGAGACTTTCCGCAACATAGTCGAGCAGCGTCATCATCCGCTTCGCCGTGTTCGTGTCTATGAAATTCATTCCCAGCTTACTCAGGCTCGGAGAACACGCTCCTCTGACTTCTTCCGGGCCGCTAAGTCTGCCATCCTTTTCTCGTCCGATGTGACAGCTCGTGGCATGGACTTCCCCGATGTGACTCACGTGTTCCAAATCAGTATCCCCAGGGACCGAGCCACTTACATTCACCGTCTGGGCCGCACAGCGCGTGCAAATAAGACTGGCGAGGGCTGGGTCCTCACCCACCGAGGAGAGATGCCTGAGTTCGACAGGCAACTAGAAGGCATCCCAATCAACCTAGATAAGCAGACCTTCACGACGGCTACGGTCGATATGAGCAATCCCGACCTCGACCCCGAGTCCCCCGCAACTAGATTTATCAAGGAGGTCAAGGAAGCCGTGCAAGAAGTTCCAGAAGACCTGAAGAGGCGAGCATACATGGCCCAGGTTGGCCCTCTGAGAGGTTACTTTGCCCGCAAGCGGGACCTAATCCAGGCCATGAACAACTGTGTTGTGCACGGCTATGGCCTGCCTGAACCCCCAAACATGAGTCCGTCCACTGCCCGTAATCTGGGGCTTGATCGAGTACCTGGTGTTCGTGTTGCGGGCAACCGCCGTTCCAGCGACGACTTCTCGACAGGCCGTGACTATCGCAGAGGCGATCGCGATAACTACGCTAGTAACTCTCGCCGTGACCGCGGGTTCAATTCCGACCGCCGCGAGTCAAGGTTTGGCAATCGCCGCAAGGCCGATGATTTCTCCAGAGGCCGCCGACATGCCGACAGAGACAGCTACTAGACCTATTTTCGTTTCTCAGGTCCAGTTAAAACCCCTGTGTAGACTCAGCCAGTGTTATTGAGCGAGTCTCACACAGCCGATCCGCTTTGAATTTGACAGAGAGATTGCATTGGGCGGCGTTATACGATCTAACAGGACACTTCTCATCTCCTCATATGTTTTATTTCACCTGGGACTTCTGGACTGTGGAATGTTCGCTGGATTTGAATACTCGTGATTATATGGCTTGACGACCCATCTTATTGTGTATTATAGAGATTCCAATGTGTATTATTGATACTGTTGTTCGCTGTGGATTTTGATCTGGACATAGAGTGTACAACATGTCAAGGAACAATTCTGGCCAAGTTAGATTTGAAGTGATTCTTTTATTCAAAATCGGCATAGGACAAAAAAGTGCAAGAAGAACAGTAGGGTTAGCTTGCAGACTTCACATCGGTAATTATGCATTCTTTAAAGTCCATATCAAGGTATCAAGTTCAAACGACAAGAGCCGACCAGGGAACAGGGAGTCGCTCTACTGCATGCGACTCTCAAAGAGAAATATGTGACAAAAGCAAACCCCAGAGCGCCTAACTATCCAGCCTGCATTCCAAGCATTGCCAGAAACTCAGCGACCACCCCCAATTTTCGCTGGAAAAAGCACCAAAGCCAGGCAGGTAATTGACCAGCTTTTGTATCGCATAAACCAAACAATGCACATAACCCATAGCACAAGTCATAACCCATGAAAAATGAGGTTGCGTCTCATTGTGCCCATGTCTGGCAGTCAGCGACAACAACCCGCAACCGCGATGCCGAGACCTCGGCTGGTGTCCACAAATCCCCTCAGCGGATTGGGATGCGATGCTGCTCACGTTCGAAACACATCGTCAATGTGTCCGCCTCTGCTCTCGATCTCAGCAATAAGCTCCTGCCTCTCCTGTAGCTTCATGTGTATGAAATCCACCGTTTTGCGGAGCACGATGCTCTCGCTCCGGCCCTGGCCTTCCAGCCCCGGCACCAGCTCCGTAAGCCGATCGAAGCCCTCTCTAATCGCGGCTCGTCGCTTCTGTTCCGAGGCGATGTGGTTGTTCTTCTTTTCTTGTTCTGTGAGACGTGGTTTATCCCGGTCTGCTGCTGATCCTGTGCTTGTGCCTGAGACGGCCGCTTGCCTGGAGGATGAGGGGCCGGTGGGGGTGGTGGAGGAGCGAGTATGTGCGTCCTCTGCTGATGTGCTTGCGCTGGCGGGAACGGGAGAACAGGAGGGTTCGGAGGAGCTGGAGGCGAGGGATGCTGGTGGTTGTGCAGATGGCATGTTGCTTTTCCCTTTTTCCCTTCTTATATTGATGGTGGGATTAATTTGCGATCAAATTGCTGTGACAGGTTGAAGCATGTGACTGTGTTTTTTCATGTGACTCTGACTGCGGAGGACCAGTGGTATATACACAAGGCCACTGAAGAAACGAAAACAAACAAGCTGAAACAGAAACGCAAATAATGAGTGACAGGGTTAGAGAAATAACTGGATTGGAGTCTTGAGGGTTGTAGAAATCAAAACCATATCGAGAGAAAGAAGAGAAGACCGTTCTGGCTCTGGCTCTTGTTCTGGTTCTGGTTCTGGTTCTGGAGGATCCAAGGATTAAGAAAGCCAGTCATCCTCCGCCCAAACCTAGTAGCGTGCGGAGAATCGATCCCCATAGGTGTTTCGAACTCCAATTTTCGGTGTTTCTACTCCTTCTTTCTTGGCCCTCACGCTGGTTCTCGCTAACTGGATAAGTCCTAGCTACTTCGTACCCGCAGCACAGTACAGTCGAGTCTCGACTTAAGACACTAGTCAGAAAATAGAAATCCGCGTCGCCGTTAGCCGCCGAAGGAGGTTGGCCAAGCCTCTGAGGATCCGCTGTCTGGGCCTCTTCACGTCATCGGTACCCTTATCGAATATCTCCCCATACGAACAGACAATTCAGAGTTACTCAATTCTTTCTGTTCTTTCTTCGTTAACACTGCTCCTAAACAGCTTTCTGTATCTTTAGATTGTCTTCCTCTGTCATCTTGCTCACAACTGCTATCAATCGAACATCGCGGCGTCGATCTATGACCTCATACTAGACAAGCTCAACCTACGACGTCCGCACTTGATAATAGCCTGGTTCAAAATATGAGCACTCATGCGCCTCTTCGCGGCTCCTGCTTATGCGGTCGCAATCAATATTCGATTGATATCCCAGATAATGTGACAGACCACGCTCATATATACTTCGACAGCAGCCGGGATCGCCGTATGTATTTCCGGCCAAGGAATCATGCCATTCTCTGTATCCCCACCAAATCAATGCAAGGCTAATGTGCATCAGGAAAATCATATGGGTCACCTCTCACGGCATGGCTGCGAGTTCCCCTGAGCTGGTATCAATCCCACACCGAGTCTTACTTTCCTGATGAAACACATGCCACCATTCGTCGGGTCTTTAGCCCTAATCATGCGCCTCACACACAGCGCATCTTCTGCGGATACTGTGGCACTCCGCTCACATACTGGAGCGAGACTCCTCGAGAGGAGGCGGACTATATGTCTGTGACGATTGGCAGTCTGTACGGCGAGGCTCAACGCATGCTGGAGGACCTCGACCTTCTTCCCGGATCGTCGGATGAAGAAGAAGTAGAGGAGGAAGAGGTCGGGGAAGCAGAAGAAGAAGAGAAAGAGGGGAAAGGAGGCGTGGCTGTGAGTCCAGCCGAACATACGCAAACTTCGTCCGCCCATTCAACAGTTGTCGTGCCTTCGCCGGCTCGCGCGCCTGCCCTGACTCGGAGCTACCGTAGGGGTACGACGCGGGGTATACCTTGGTTTGAGGAGATGATTGAGGGAAGTCGACTGGGCCGCATAATGAAGACAAGGCGCGGTGTAGGGGTCAGCGATGACAGCTCGACGACAATAGAGTGGGAAGTGACTGAGTGGATGGATGAGGGCCCCAGCGAAGGAACGCAGGCCAGCTCAGAAGATGCACGAAGCGCCGTAAAACGAAAAAGAGGACATTACGTCGACACCGAGGGACCCGGGTCGGCCGCAAAACAAATGTGATGCTAACGGATTTCTACTCACCTTGTAAACGAGAAATTGGTGGGCCTTCGATAATACTCAAGGTACGCGCAACAGGAGCACCAGTATACGAAGAAGCTCTGCCCCCTTATTCTCCAGATAACAGCAATATGTCCATGGGCCTCGATTTCCATGCGACCATCCCTACAGCTAGGGTCAGCTTGGGCGTCGACGGACTTGCTGCGTTCCCGTATGTATGAAAAGATCCCAGAATCAGAAGGATAAAAAGACAAAAAAAGGTGCTTCCATGTTAATTGCTTGGTTTCAACTTGCATCTCAAGGAGGGTATATACGACCCAAGCAATAAACAAACACAAGTAAGATGACGTGAATTGGGAGTGCCTGAGGTGTGCTCTCTATCACGTAGCTGGTTTCCCAAATAGGAATCGCCTCGCTTAGGTTGCCTATGCCTACAGTAAAGTGAAGGATATCTTCCTCTGCTCTCGCACACGGTGTTCGTTTAAAATAAATGTGTCATTATCTGCGTGTATGCTTGGAAACAATCCATTCCTTTGACCTCCTTGGTAGTCATCTTAATATCATATGCCTCTTTGCCTTAGGACTGAGATTTCAGCTTAGCCCTCGTTTGGATTCAGAGCAACATTCAGCACCGCTTGATAAGTCGTCTTGCTGTCATCTCATCTCTCGCCTTCAGGAACACCAGCCTTGAACACTCCGTGCATGGGTGTCGCCTTGTGTAGATACCGACTGTGCTCAAACATAGGACAACCCGGTCGAACAGGTATGCTTCCCTACTTATCTCCCGTTCCTGTGTTTCGATTGCTGGGAAGTAGCGCTCAATAGACAAATCTTGAGAGAATAGCCTGTAAGGCGAGATCTTTGACTGCTCACAAGGCAGTTGACCAGACGATTCAAGATGAAGAATGACCCACGTCCAGCAAAGCTGAAAGGGAAGCGCTCAGCTCCCAATCTCAGGACAAAAAGAAGTGCCATCAATATTCCTGCCAGCAGCAGACCGCGTAAGGCGATCAAGGAAAACTATGTACCAAGTGTTAGGAGCAGAGCATCAGCACCGAACTTGAAGCAAGTTGCAGATGTGCTGACTCCCAAGTCGCCGTCCCCTACCAGCGAGGCCCCCGAGAGTCAGAGCAACGGATCGGATGGCAAGCAGGACGGCGAGTCCCAGCCGAAGGAAGTTCCACGATTTATGCTGTTCACTGAGACCAAGATTAAGCCTGTCGAGTATCGGCCACCGCGCCAATATACTGGTCCTGCTATTCCTAAGATTATGGGGATTGAACCTCTTTTCTTTCGGCCAAAGCCGGTGGAGGTCAAGAAAGAGTCACGAAAAGAGAGGATCCTGAAGGAGATCAGAAAGAGGTATCAAGTCAGGAAAGCCCGCGTGAGAGGCGTCGTGAAGAATCTTAGGAATATCAGAGCGCTCAGGACTTTGCATGCGCTGAAGGCTTCTGTAAAGGCGATGCGTAAGGATGCGCAAGAACGGCTTCTCGAGGTACGTGTTGTCAGGGACGCCTGTTGTGAGTTCCAAGGGGACGCTGAGTGGATAGCCTACAGTGCAAGCCAATTTATCATATCAAGGAGATCAAAGAGCTCAGGCGAGCCTCGATGTTCCTTGGTCTACCTAGGCTTCAGAAGAGACCGCTGTCAACTTTGTCTGTACGTGGATATACCTGATAACTGTGGCCAGGGGAGACTCACTCTCAGAAGATAGGAAGCGCCATCACACTGGGGGACTGCCGAAGATACTCTGAAATCTCAATATACAGCAGGGCAACTGATTCTCCGAAGCTCGCAGAGCTCTTCGCAGAGGCTGGCACTAGTACAAAGGTCGAAGACGGACCCGGCCCTACGATAGTGAGTGAAGACGAGGACTGCACAGTGCGCCGGTCCCTGTTGTTTTTCTCAGATGTGGCCTCTCTTATTCAAACACATCCAAATTTCAGAAATTCTGGCGAAAGCATCACCCAAGCTGAGACTTTAGCAACTTCTTCCTCCTTCCTTCAGCACCGGAATAGTCGTCCACTTTCACTCTCTTCATCCATTCTTCAATATCACCTTTCTCCGAATAACCTCGACGAGGTTTCCCCTCGATCTTCTTTCTCAGATACTTCTTCCGACCGGACCATCACTCCACTTAGAATCCAGAAAAAAGTCAGGATGCCACCTGAACCAGGTTCGGCGTCAAAGGACCCCTTTGTTGATTCTTCGACTGGTGGCAATCACGCCGCAGACGACACTGATAATCCAGTTTCTGACGGTAAGGCACTGCTGTTTCTATACTCATAACTATCTTCATCCTTCTATTACCCTGCAATGATGTGGAAGAGCTGCTATGCTCCTATCTGTCTCTTCAGCTATCTCAAGTCTGTGGTGKCTCTGGAGTAGCTTAGTTAGGGCCGTCGACACCTCTCCAACTATCAGCAACTTCATAGCTTATATGTGGAGATGCTAACATGTGCTCGTACGTAGGAGTTGTGGAGAGAGTCGCAGATAACCCTGTATCCACTGCAAAATCAGACCAGGACAACACAATCTCTTCTGAGTCTGCAAGACCTGAGTCTCTCAATCAAGGTACGCACGTCCTGCTGACTTGAAAGCTCTTGCTGACATATCAAAGACAAAGACTCTAACAAAGATACAACTCGACATGCAAGCCATGGAACCCGTATCCCTACCCCGGCTTCCCAGGCATTGGGCACTGGAGGAAGCCAACCGAAAGGCACGCGAGTGACATCTGAGCACCGCAGCTCAATTCCTGTTGCGGTCCGCAAGGTTGGCACGGAGCATCAGAATGTGCCTGAAGGTGGCTCTAGTGGACACGAGGCTGGCGAGACCCGTGCCGCTGGAAGGACTCGCGGCCGTCATGTATCACCTTTTCAGCATCAAATCAATACTCTGTGGGGGTATATACGCGATGAAGACATAGCAAACGAGATTTCCCGCTACTCATCCACATCGTCCTCAAGTGGCGACTGGGATGGTGAGCAGGATGACGACGACGAGCTTGAGAGGCCCACCGGTTACACTGGCGATAATCGTCGGCCATTCGAGCGATCTGCTCAATGTTTCTACGGACCACGTCTGCAGATCGCGGCGTCGGCGGAAAACGTCATCATGGGCACCCCGAACTTGTCTTCTAAATCGTCTCCTGATCTAAAAAGAGACGTCCCTCGTACTGCTACACAGGGTAGCCCTCACAACGCACGCCTCGGTGAGCAGAGTTCCAGACTGGTTGAAGGAGGCCATGAAGCAAAGGCCAGCCCTGAATCTTCTCGGAACTTTTGCCGCCCCCGGCCTTCTCTTGAGAATATCTCCAGAAGGGACTTCAGTGGAAGTGAGATTTCTATTCCACGAAAGCCCGTGGGTAGCCCAAGCTTAACCGATCTCCACAATCCCAGTTCGGATGGACTTCAGTCTCAGTACGTGGTGCCTACGGTGCCCAAGATTCCCGATGAACATAATGTCTTCTTGAACAAGGACAAACCTTTGCCTGAACTGAACGCTGGCCCCGTCTCTAAAGGTACTGGCCAAGGATCTAAAGAAATCACCGGGTCCATGACTGGTGGTGGTCTTTCGGCGCATGCGAGGGTCAAAAGGGCAGCAGCCGCTGACAGCCCGCATCCCACCCGGACGTCCTCTCTACAGTCGGTTCCCGCTAGCCAAGGAGAGTCTGCCGTGACTACTCCTCGGACTCCCAATATACAACACCCAGGCGGCGCGGCAGATTTGAAGCGGACTGTGACCTTCGATGATATTGTGCCCGAAAAAAAACATAGCGCACAGCGTGGAAAAGGCAGGTTCCCAGACTCGAGGAGCAATCGCATGCTTGACAGCTTTCGCAACATTTTCAAGCATAAAAATGCCGCTGATAAAGCACGTGTGAAGAATGAAGAGAGTACCGAGGCTGCGCTAGAAGAGTCTGGAGACCAGGCTCAAAGCGGCTCAGTCGATCGTGCTAATAAGGACGATGGTAAACTGGAATCGGCAACGACAGCCTCTAAGTCGCGAACCAAGTCCCCCAGACTGCCCGAACGAGCTGGTTGGGGCAAGGGTGCTCGCAGCATTAGTGCCCCTATCCATGTCTCTCCCGGAGCGTTCCCAACTCCTACTTCCTCATTATCTTCCATTCCGGCTCCTTCACCACGTGTCTACGAGGAATACCAAACTCCCTCGTTTGCTAGGCCTACCAAGTCAACGCGTACTAGAGCGGCCACAAACCCTAGGTTGCAAACGCCTGTTGCTGCAGATGGCCGCTCCCGGAGAACTTCAGCGATGGCAGCTTCTACTGGAAGCCCGCAGCGCTCGACCCGTGTTTCTCGTCATCTCAATGCAGTCACCGGCTCCAAGAAGGCATCACACGCCAGAAAGACCGCAGAAGAACAGGCAGCGATCTCCAAGTCTCCGGGCCCTGCTTCTTCCCTGACAACCCATGCCTCGAATGCCGATTGGTGGAATCTTCCTAAGGAGCAGAAAGATGAGGAGATCTCTGCCTTCATTCCTCAAATCTTCCGAGAGATATGTGAAGAGACGGACAGGGATAAGAGAGCAGAGATGCTTCGGGTAAGTCTCCCTGCCGTTGTAGAGCTCTTGTGACTGGGGCCTTTCGCTAATGATGCCCACAGGAAACTCTCTCACTCAAGCATCAACTAGATACCGTGAACAACGCGCGTGCGGTTGTTACAGAAGCCGAGGAGACGCTACGCAAAAAATTGGAAAAGAAAACCGCTGCGGAGCGAGCTCTATATGAGAAATTCCTTCAAGCTCGGACCAAAGTCGCCTCTTAGAGCGTCAGCTTATGACTTGCACGACTGATGACGATTACGGAGTATCACTTTCACCTGATTTCTGTCTTATGACTGACGAATGAATGAGCAATGACATCTGTTTCTGTCTTGCGTTTTGATACCCTGATCTCGGTCATCGTTGAGTCGATTCACACGTTTCTTTCTTTACTTATCTCTTTGTTGACCTTTATTCAACCCGAAATCCGGCTGCATATGATGGTTTCCTTTGTGTTGGTTGTTTCAGTTGCTCCTTCTGCGTGTCTGCTTCTTTGATGTTTCAACTGGGCAAAAAAACAAAAATCACAAAAAAAAGGCTTCTGTCTGAGTGAACACTGCAGCCCAGGTCTTTTTTGCTTTCAACGATGAATTAGAAAAGCCGCAGAAACACTAGAAATTTGAAAAAAAGGGGCGTAGCCCTACAAAAGAACTGATCATGAGTAAATGCCTGCCTCATCTTCCACTCAACGAGAAGTGTAGTTGAGCTTCTAAACTGTTCTAATGTGACTCCCAAAATGAATCGAACTGATGGCCTCTAGAAGCATAAACACTATGTTCCTCACGCAACAAGATAGAAGAGGCGACTTTGAGGTCACGGAGGACAAAGAGTCTCAGCTTTGTAGCGACTTGTCTTTCCTGCGAGATAAACATGAAGACAGAATCACAAAGACTTGTTACGCTTAGGTTGTTCATTCAAGTGGCTTGTTGCATAATACCCTTGGAGCCAAAGGCATTCCAGATATTGTGAATGACCATTGACTGCCAGTGTGCAACAGATCCTTCACGTCGCCCTCTTCTTGCCCAATACTAAAGTGATAATCAACAACAACTTCCCAACTGCCTACTCTTGCTGCATCAACTCGTCCTGAACTTTATCCTTTAGTATTCTCCATAACAAGCATCATGCGGAAGGAGCGTAGGAATCAGCGCTACCGGGTAAGTCTGTCTTTTCGAGTCTTTTCTCATCATCGAAACAATCCTGCTATGAGAGTCTCTTGTGTTTCGAGTCGCTAACATGGCCGAGTGGCAGCCAAACAACTTTGGCAACACGATCAACACGATCAATTTTCCAGACCAAATGAGAGGTCGCACCTTCGAGCGATTCCCACCCGTCCTCGTGCAAGATGCAGAACGCTTCTCTAGAGATCCAAGAGTCCCCTTCGTTTCTCCTGAGATCGCGCAAGCACCAGTCCCCAGACCTCGCATCAACGCGTTCAATAACCAGCCTTTGCCTTATCAGCATCATCAACCTGTGAACACCTGGGTTCCAGGGCTTCCGGGACCGGTCAATACCGGCCGGCCCACCATGGTCCCGCCCAACACAATGATGGCCGCTCCCCCTGCTGTGTATGCGCAGCCAGGACCTGTCATGACTGGGCGCCCGGCCATGAATCCGGCTCACGCAATGATAAATAGTCCTTCTCTTGGTTATGCGCAGCAAGAGCCTTTCATGGGGCCCCATCCTGCCGTGAATCCAACTCATGCAATGATGACTACTCCTCCTCCTATTCTTGCGCAGCGGATGAGGGAGCAAGTTAACCACTACAAGATGATTCTGCATGACATTCGCACGGCAAGCGGACGACTGGTAAGTCTGACCAAACTTGTTGGCTCGTTCCTCCAATCGATTAGTTCAGCCCCTTTGGATACTGACATGTTGTTGAACGCCAGGAGTTCGAACCACCCCGTTTCACGCCTCACCCGAGCTTCACGGACTCGCCACCTCCAGAGATATACTCGCCGTCTTCAGAGGGTAAGAGTGCCAAGGAGGTGATGTTCGCCGAATCGACTCCAACATCGAAGCTTCGGGGGGACGCGCCCGAGTTTGTTCCTGGTCGACCATATGAGGGCAAAACCCAGAAGCCAAAGACTGAGCGGGGATGGATGATTGTCTCTAGCAGTTAGCTTGGGTGTTTCTCCTCATTCGGCATGTTGCACGAATTTGACGAGGCTGTGAACGCTTGAGCTGTGCTGCTGAAGGTCCTGAATCGGTTCGGATGGCCCTTTGAAAGACCTTAGTCCATATCAGGACTGTACATTGCTTGGGGGCATCTATTTAGCCGTCCTTTAAGGATATTGCGTTGATCCAATGCAGACATTTCTACTCTTCCTGAATTGGCGTCTTGAGAGGTATTTTTGAGCGGACATAAGGTAGTTTGGAATCTGTAAGCTTGTGTGACAGTTCCATATATTGCCGATCCCTATGGCTTCAAGTACTTCCCTTAACTTCTGACTATTCCCTTGTCCTTGAGGACCAGAGCCAAGGTATAGATCCGAAATCTGGACCACATCTGCGTCATGGTGCGGGCCAGCCATCCTTTTCTGTAAGGTCTCGACTCTACCCTAGAGCTTCCGAGACATCGAACTTTGTCCGAGACCTTGCCGAACTGCAACCGCCCTTTTCTCACCTATCAACAACTTAAGCTCACCACCCCAAATTCATATTGCTAAAATGTCGACAAAATGTCAATCTTGTTTGGTTTCTATCTCCTGACTGCTCTGAATATCCTCTGCCCTCTCATTGCCCATTAAGTCTACACACATCCGTACAACCGTACCATCTACCGAAGGCCGCATCGACTTATCCGAGAGGCTCTGAGCATCTCGGCAATCACTACTCACTAGTTGCGCTATGGCATCAATGATCTGCACGCTTTCATCCTACACTGGAATGGTCTACTTGGCGCACGGTTGTGATTTATGCGGCCCGATTGCCTATCTATTGATTCGGGAAGGCTGATTTCGCGGACTTGGCGAACCATATGCCTGCACGTCAGTGTGATACGGTCAACAAAGCGAGAATCGAACTACACCGACGACGTTGGTCGAAGTGATTCGACGGATACCCCAATTAACAGAGTCTATTATTCAACATCGATGTGTGATTTACCAATCAATCAGCCACCGACCCGGCGATCCGGTTTGCACAATATGGCTGAGCTGGGTAGGCTCGTTTGGCTAGTGAAATCGTGCAGCTAGTCACTGAACTTGGGCTGCATCTTCTTGCATCTGGGCAAGGTCACACTGCGCACAATCGGAACTTTTGTCAGCCATCCTTGCCACTTGTTCAGAGATGAGCCGGGAGACTGCAGCATGGCACGCTCTTCGGAGGTAATAAAGCAATCGATTCCCGCTGTTGCATTATGTTACCTCACATGGTTGCATTTGCGCTGAGTTCACATCTGTTCAGTTCTCGACATGGGCTCCTTTCGCGATGGACTGGCTTCTCTAGCCCTGCTTCTGTTATGCCTTGTTTCATGGGGTTCAGCTAGTGTGGTGCGCTTCAAAATCACTCTGACATGGGAGGACTGGGCCCCAGCTGGTATTTCTCGGAAGATGATTCTCAGCAACGGCCAATTTCCAGGTCCGCCATTGTACTTGCGACAGGGGGACGATGTTGAGTTTATGGTGGATAATCAACTTCCGTTTACTACCGCAGTCCATTTTCATGGTAAACCTATTCAATGACAACAATTGCTAGACAAGGCTGACACCTCTCACCTATAGGAATTGACCAGACGGGAACGCCTTGGTCCGATGGAGTCCCTGGTCTTTCGCAAAGACCAATCCCATCCGGCAGCAGTTTTCTTTACAAGTGGAATGCTGGACAGTATGGCAGCTATATGTATCACGCTCACAGAAGAGGGCAGATTGATGATGGGTTGTACGGAGCGATTTATATCCGTCCTGATGACTCAGTGGAGAAGCCGTTCAGGTTGATAACCAATCGTACGCGTGAAGTCAAGGCCATGCGTCGAGCCGAAGAAAGAACAACCCCCTTAGTGCTAAGTGACTGGCGCCAGTTGACGTCCGAGGAGCTGTGGCACGCGGAAGAGGCAAGTGGACTAGACGCATACTGTGTGAATGCGTTATTAGTCAATGGAAGGGGCTCGGTACAGTGTCTGGACCGCCATACATTGGATCAGTATAGTGCGGCAAAGTGGGCATTTCTGGGAAAGTCTTCGCTGACTGATATTGGGTAAGTGTACAAGAAACACGACATTTCATGTTATCCATTTGACACTGACTCTCCCAGCTGCGCGCCCCCGACGAGTCCACTTCTCCAAGGAAACTTTCCACATAACTTTAGTGCCATTCCGCCGACAGTGTACTCTGGCTGTACTCCATCTCAGGGCTTGACCGAGCAACTCCTGGTTGATCCACTCGCTTTGTACGCCAGCTTTGACCTAATTAGTGCTGCTGGTGTGTCAACGCTCACTTTCTCAATCGACGAACATCCCATGTATATATACGCCATCGATGGAAGATATATCGTCCCGGTTCGAGTGGATGCCGTCACTATTGCCAACGGAAACCGTTATTCAATCATGGTGAAGCTGGATAAACCGGCTGGTGACTACACCGTGCGCATAGCGAACGCCGGAATCAACCAACTTATTAGTGGCAATGTGAGCATGTCTTACAACACACCTTTCAAAGCTCAATCACGTCCTTCACAACCATCAATCGACATCACTGGCGCCAACACAACAGCGGACGTCGTGATATTCGACGAGAGCACGGTAATCCCTTTCCCTGTGGAGGTACCGGCGGAAGAAATTGCCCAGACCTTCTTCGTAGACGTCGCCCGGTTTAACGCGTCCTACCGCTGGGTTCTTGGAAAGTCAAGCTTCCCGCTCTCCGTGGAGGAATCGCCTCCTCTTCTGTTCAATCGCTCCGCCACCAAGCCCGACCTTTCGATTTCAACTCGGAACGGAACTTGGATCGATCTCATCTTCAGAGTGGTCAGCCATTTACAGCCACCACACCCTATTCACAAGCACTCGAACAAGTTCTTCGTCATTGGTCAAGGAAATGGGGCCTTCAACTATACCTCAGTGGCCGAGGCGATGAAGTACATTCCGGAAAGCTTCAACTTTAGGACCCCGCAGATACGGGACACATTCGTAACGCCTCCTAGTGAATCTGGCCCCACTTGGTTGGCGATAAGGTATCAAGTCGTGAATCCTGGCGCATTCTTGATTCATTGCCACATTCAAGTGCATCTGAGCGGCGGCATGGCGATGGCGATGTTGGACGGCGTAGATAGGTGGCCTGTGGACATTCCCGAGGAGTACCGGCTCGCTGCCTCGGAATCATAGTGATAGGATCACAGTGATAGGTGTGACGTGACATATGTTTGCGCTTGGACGTCATGAGCTAAGGCTTACAGCCACATGAAGGTAGTTCTCGAGACCTCCGGTAGATACATGATCGACGAGAGATGATAATAGCGTGGACTTTCTTGGCCAACCATACCTCAGGCAAGTTATGGATAACCCCGCACAGGTTACTCCTTACTTGTATGAGGGATCGACCTCCATGCAGTCCGACATCTGTAACTCCATAAGATACTCAAGACAGTTAACCTAAAAGTTGAAAACAGAGCCACAATCGTGTGATAAGTGATAACCTCGGGAAACCGCCGAACTTTAAGTTTAACCCCACAACTTGGCTGAATGGGGTCGTGTGGGGTCGTGCTCTCCCCTGAAGTTTCAGGAACCGGACCGCCATGACGAGGATCCCCTCTCTTGAGCATCTCGATTCTATCGTGGTCCATGGTAGATACTAGTGAGCACGATCTTCCATCTCGATAATTTATTCTCAACCGCCGCGATAGCTCTACCCTAGCACCTGCAAGGCTCAGACCATACACAGTGGCCCGCCTTCTCCGCTGTGCCCGTCGGTGGTACCACTTGCTCGCACAGCTTACTTATTCAGGAACGGGTTTCTGCATCCACAACTGTGCGTGTGCGACCGACCGCTTTTGTTCTTCAATAACAAAACAGAAAAACGATTGGTTCACTATGGTCTTCTGTGGGAAACCCAGCAAAGGATGCGGCCAATGCCGATCGAGGAAGATCCGGTGCGACCAGGAACGGCCTTCTTGTTCGCAATGTCTCAAAGGCAACCGGGTCTGTCCCGGCTACCGAGACGAGCTATCGTTGATGTTCCGCGATGAAAGTCAACAGGTTGTTCGAAAGGCCCGGAATAGTGCTGCCGCGCGCAAGTCCAAGCAGACAAGGAAGGCCAGGCGGACCCTTTCGCCGAGTGAGAGTAGCCCGGAGTCTACATCTGGTGCGACAACGGTCTCGGTCAGCCGGAGTAGCGATGTGATTGACTTCGGCCATGAGAGTCCGGTGCAGACTGAGTTGATTGAGCGGCCGCCGCTGACGAGGATTCAGCCGTCGTACCAGACCACGCAGGATGAGGCGGTTTGTTACTTCGTTCAGTACAACCGCTGGCCTGGGTTCCACTGGATGATAGATCTGAGTCCCGACTTTCTAGCCAGCTCGGGCTTTTCTGTGAGCCAGGAGGCTATGAAGGCGAGTGTCGGGGCTGTGGGGACGGCGATGCTTGGACGGGTTCGACAAGACACGTCGATGATTATCGCTGCGGGAGCGGAATATGGGTTCGCTTTGCAAATGTTRGCATTCGCTGTCTCAAATCCAGCAGAGGTGAAAGCCAACTCGACACTGGGGGCAGTCTTGATGCTGGCAATTTTTGAGGTAAGCGGCATTGACAGCCTCGTTTTCCTGTTCATGGATGGCTCAGACATGATTTTAGGTCGTTACCAGCCGGACAACACAAAATATTGAAAAGTGGACGAACCATCTTCGCGGCGCCGCGGCTATTCTTGAGCTGCGCGGTCCTGAGCAAGTACAGAATGAGGAGGGTCTGAAGCTGTTCGTCCAGCTGCGATTTCAGATAGTACGTGCTTTCGCCGGCTCCTGCGCCTTGACGGCTCTTTCTTCGAATGACAACTGACGCTCGCAGATTACGAGCTGCTTACAGCTCAGCGTACACGTGCCGCCATCGGTGCTCGAATGTGCACCACTTGGCATGTTTCTCCGCCCACAGACAGACGCTTACGGTGATCGCCTGATTTACATCATAGGCCAATT